TAATACTGTATATCTCAAGTATTGATCATCACATTTCAATAAAACTTGGTACATAAATGGTCTAGGACAATAGACAGCCTGATTAATTTTGGGTTAAAATCTGTTCATATTAATTCTCTAATTAGCATAATAATTAATAGTTTTTTGGTTCTAATCACCTTTCAATGAAACTTGGTACATTGTGCAGACCTTATTAGTTTGACACTTAAATCTGTTCGTTACCTTATTTGCATAATAAATTTTTTGCGTTTCCATCAACATTTCAAGTTCAAGTAATTTTGAATTAATTTTTAATGTGTCTCCAATACTCTCAGCACACGGGAGTTCTTTCTAAGCTTTCTTTGATTAGTAATTATATTGAAATTTGTCATTTTGTTTTTGTTCCAGGATGAAATATTGGTCTTGTTGTCAGCGGAAAACAAGCGACTTTGATAATTTTCTGCAACAAGCTGGTTGTAGCAATGGTAAACACCTGTGGATTAAAAAGGATTTTAAAAAAACATTGTGTCGGTAAATCATGAAAATTTTTTTTTCATATTATTGTTTGCCATGATTGTACAATGCATGCAATACCAATTGTTGTACAAAATGAGTAAATGCTAGGTGTGGGACATAGCTCTGCTTGTGTCGATCTGATGGTATATTAAATGTACATAATGTATGGTATTGTCGACACAGTAGTGCTATGGTGACAGCCATAGAATACTGTCCATGTTGACGCCGCAAGTGTTCTTGGGGAATCCCTAATCGCATTCCTTAATGACAACAACGTAACGTCATGTTGATCATGTGATACCATGCTTGTCCATTATAAGTAATATTGCGAAAGGCTGCATTTTAGCGTGACCGTCCAAGAACAATCAGGTGAATGGGCTTTATTGCGAGTAATTAAGTCTCAATATTTACTGTGGTGGGTATTTAATAAATGTACAATCTATTGACCTTGGTTAGGAGTCTAGTTTCACAGGACATTGCATGCTTTTTAGTCTTTTATTTGCACAATGGTTTTATTGCGGCGTCAACATGGACAGTACTCTATGGCTGTCATTAAATTTCATGTACATTTAATATACCATTGATCAACACAAGTAGAGCTATTGACCCACAGCAAATAAATGCATTATTATGCATTTAACATGGCATATACCTACTTTAATAATGCAGGCAGAGTGATTGTTCAAAAATGTAACCTCAGGGCTCGAAATTAACTTTTAAATCTGGTGATCCATATGGACCACCACCCCTATTTTTTGGTGGTCCAAACCAGGATGTATGTGGTCCAGTATAACATTAATAAAATGAGTCAATACTTTGGGGTATGTCATTTATTAAGTAAAAATGTAATGTTACAAATCAGTGTCAGTATCACTTTCATTTTGTGCACGTGGTCCATATGGCCTAATATCTGGTCTTCGTGTACGCCTACCTGCATTCCACCAAGTCATGATAGCAGGTTATGGGTTAAATTTATGCAATGGTTGCCCTAACAGTTTTATTCTTAATAGTTCATTCAGTTTTTCTGTTGTGAGACTGGATCTCCAGTCAGTTTTAATTTTACCCATTATTGAAAACCCTCGCTCACACTCACTAGTGTGAATTGGAATAAGAAGCACAATCTTCACAAGGGTGAGTATATTAACAAACTCTTCTGGTATGTGTCTAAGAAGTCTCTGCCAGAAGTCTAGGTAAGTTAAATGTGGCTGTGTTATTGCAGTGTCTCTGAGAATCAGTTTCAGTTGCCTCCATTTCTATGGGATATCATTTATTTTACAATTCTGCCTAATGAGCAATCCTGCAAATGTGTTGTGAGTTGCTGTATTTCTATTT